CTTTCAGGTCGTAAAGTACTCAAGTATTCAAAATATATTTATGGTTTTCTTTCCTATGGACGTAAAGAGTATCCTGGGAAAAATTCTTTGAACCTATTCCTCTCCTGGAATAAAAAAATGTATTATAATTTTGCTGGCAACCAGTTGTGACTTACAGCTGGCTGGGACATAAGAACAGATATATTTTTCGCAGGAAACCGTCGGCTCCTCTTGAAATAAAGGTTTGTTTCGTTTCTTACAAGCAAAACATAAAAAAGGAGTTAAGGTGGATTGCTTAATAGACTTCTGAACCTTTTACGTCACTACTTGATTTTCAATGCATTGTGGGATCAGTTTCAAGAGAAACAAAAGAAATCCGCCATGTTCTGTCCCAAACATATCCTACAATGCATTGCGTATACGGTACATGACGTAAAAGCTTCAGAGGTCTATTAAGGGCTATAAAAAAGTTCGAGGACTACGACTGCCATCTTGCTTTGTTGTCGTACAAACTGGCGTGATAATTTAAATTGATAATTTAGACGTGTTTTCGTTCTACACCCTCTTATTGACACAGCACTCTTCACGCTGTGAATTAAATGGTCACAACTCTGCAGTTTATACATCTCTTGGAGATGGGCAATAAACAACTCACTAGGACATTGAATTATTTGCCCTTACAATGGTTGGGGGTCACGGTTTGCAGTACCGTGATGTTTTGACTGCATATCTCTAACGTGGTAGATTATAAAACTTGCACTGAAAATAATCAGCTCCTTTGCTTGAAACGATGGAAACTAGCGGTAAACCAGTGTGAGCTGCGTCGATGTTTCTAAAGAAACAGTTATGTAAAAAGATAGATTTAACACCGTAAAAAAGTAGGTTAAATAACTTACTGACGTTTCGGACGTTAATCCTTCGTTGGAGTAAAGAAAGACGAAGGATTAACGTCCGAAACGTCAGTAAGTTGTTTAACCTATTTATTTTAGGGTCTTAAATTTAATGTATATTTTTACACAACAGCTCATTTGGTTGCCGTACACGTACAGCAATTAAATGATAGGAACGATGTCATATTTTAACTATTGTATTGTTGTAAGTCATCTGTTGTTGTGTGAATAAACCGAAATTGAATTGAATAAAACTATAAGGAGCGACCGTAAAAAAAATGTACATAGCAATTCTTGTTCTGTTAGTGCGCAGGAACTTATTTTTTTAGGTCCTATTGTTACTAAAGGGCGCGCATGTCAACGCACCCATAATTCCTTTCGGTTCAGTCGCGTRGGACTATGGGAACATTGTTGAACAAATGGTTGTATACTGCTTATCTGTTCATTGGCGAGTTGGTTCGCTATAGGACGCCATCTTGTGCCATGTGGTTTGCACAGGAGGTAAAATGACTATTACACTTTGAAACTTGAATGTTCCAGTTAACAGCGTCGTCTTGAGAGGCAGCCAAGCCCCCGAACAAAACTAGACAGTGAAAGATTCCTTTTCATCACTAGCCTGAGTATCAGGCTCTCTCGAAGGGGTTTAGGGCGGAGCGAGAAAGGAGAGAGAGCCTGACACAATCTTCTATCGAGAGCCGTTCCGCCTCCTTGCAATGCGTGACGCGTGACAATAAATTTAAGCCAATTAAAAGCTGTTCCGGTTTGCTTGATTTCTCGATGTGGCGGTTATATGTCAAAATTTATTTGAAAAGTCTCAGCTTTTATGCCGATTTTTACCAGATTCTCAACTTGTGGACGTCTAATAAACTCTAGAGGATTGATCACTATAATCTTGAATTGTTTTACTCCGTTATAGGTCGGTGTAATGTTAGTGTTATATGAGACGTTTCCGTTAATCGGTTTGTTTTTGTACGCGTAAAACAAAACGATTCAAGAACGGCTTGATAACGTAGTAAAAAAAAGAATAAAAGACAAGCCTATGCAACCAGGTTACTATTAAAGCTTTCCCAAACTGTTATTCACTTATATCAAGAGTCATAGCGTCGTTCGGTAACATAATAATTATATATATTTTAATTCCTGTCACTTCCTTTGTCCTCTAGACCAATCAGCGTTTCGGCCATGAAACGGCCGCCGAACACGGCTCTCGATAGAAGATTGTGTCAGGCTCTCTCTCCTTTCTCGCTCCGCCCCAAACCCCTTCGAGAGAGCCTGATACTCAGGCTATTTCATCACATAATTATCTTTCTAAAACTCATGAATTATTCAATAGACATTCTTCCAATGAGCATTCAACTATGGGTCACATGACAGAACCTATAACTCAAGTTACAAACACTGATTAATTTAACATGAGTTTCATAACTAACCATTTCAGTTAGTCATAACACTCATGTATAAAACATCAGTGTGCCCTACACTAGAAAAGTTCTCAGTTTTAGACTCTCATCGYAGAACTTCATTAGGTTTAATRGTTCAAATACAGTTATTGCAAAGTCATAGTAAAGTCATAGACTAAAACATAGTGGTGCTTGYTGGATGTGTGGGAAACTAAGTTAATTACTGCTCATGCTCAGATGGGGCAATCTTCATCAGTTATTCATTTTTGATATTTTTTTATTTCATGTTTAAACTAAAATATTGTAGTTTCTTAGAGGTTTGGATATTAGAGGTCATTTAAAAAACACGTAGTTCGTGTTTAATTCTACCTTCGGCATCGTGTTTGTATCTCACGATAAAACATGAACTACGAGTTTTTTAAATATCACATAAAATATCTATATTTTCTCCATTACGCAAAGGTGTTATTTTCAGTAGTAAAAAATTACACATTCGATGAGGTTTCCTTTGATCTCAAGATGACGGACTTTGATTTCAAGATGGCGAACCTATGGATAAAAAGGAAAATTGCGTAGTGACACTTGACATAAGTGTTTTGCCAATTTTTGCCCCGATTTTTATGAGTTAAACCTATCAAACACARCTCAGAAAAATATTATGCGGTATCTGATCTAATAAAGATTTTTTATAACAAGAGTTTTCATTTCATCATTTTTCCCACGCCAAAAATACTAAAACTTAAAATGAAAACTTTTGCTTGCTTTTCTTGTTTGTTTAATGTTCTGTTCAACAGCATCCTATACAATCTAACAAGGTTACCGACAACACTATGACAAGTTGTTTGGATATATCGGTGAAGTAGCGACGAGTGTGATAAGTAGATGAGATAAGGCACTTTGTCACAACACGTCAAATAACATTTTACTCGACCTCTCTCTATTTAGTAGTACTTTTCGTCTTTATTTGTATTGTCATTTGGAAACGAAAACTGATTAAAAAATATTGTTAAAGGTTTTTTAAAAGTCAATATAAAAACATGGAAAAATGCGCGTAGTTGACTTTTTCTGTAAAACTTATACACAAGGAATAGATTCAGATTTAAACCGAAACAAATTTTAAAATATGAAAAGAGTTACTTGGAAACAGAGCGAAAAGCTGAGTAAATCATGTGTTCGAGTGTCCTAGAATGTTTTGGGTAACATTTCAACCTGAACGCTAAAATTCCTGACAAAAATAACTTKTTTCAAACTTTGTTTCTTCATAAAATCTCTAATAAACCAGAACTGTCAAAAMATAATTGGTAAAGTTACGGTAAGGCAACTTCAATACAAAAGAAYTCGCTCATTTGTTTTTAATTGATCAGCTTTTTCGCCAATAAGTGCCAAACTACCTTGTGTTATACTCTAATAAGCTCACATAATCTTGCGATTATTGTAGTATTTCTTACTAGTAGATTAAAATGTGGATTGTSCCTGTCAAATTTGTCTGACTGAGAAAATRTTGAGTCKRAAAAAGAGTCGGAAATGCAATTTAATTCCCGGCAGGTTTCTTCGGATGTATGGAASAGTCAGCGTGTTACCAAGGAATATTTTTATTTATTGAGATCGAGTGCCTTTTCTTTGTTAAATTTGCAATGCAGATTTTCTTTGGCTATCACTTCTGTCACTACTAACAACCAAGGCAGTTTATAATTCAAATACAGTAGAAATGAAAACAAATTTACTTTTTCTTTATCCGATGGTACACACAAGGATTTATAGTGAGCAAGGAATTAGTTGTATTTGTTTCACTATATCGATCTATGGATCAAGATGGAAGTTACTGATACTACATCAACAGCTGAATTGACTTTAATTCAAATATAAAAACATATTCACTCTTGTCAATAAGCCGCTGAAGGCAGCCATCGAAGTAATAATTCCAAGGTAATGTTGGATAATAGTTTAATTTAACACGAAGAATGTCGTACCGAACTAGAAGAGAACGRGMAAACCAAGACGATTTTAGAGAGCGCGAATTTCCTTCGCGAACTCAGAAACGTCAACCTGCAAGATACCCGGACTCGATTGAAAATGATGAAGATAAATTCACAAATAAYGGCAGAAGTTACAATAGTCGAAATTTTTCACAGTCAAACAATGAAACTACAAGAAATAATCCTACAGAAGAAAACAGAAGAGCTGTACGTGTGCCGGAAACAAAKATTCCGGTAGCAAAGAGAGTCCGYGTACCAAATACTCGCACAGAAGAAGAAGATCGAGTCACTCCAGTACGAGAGAGATTCCGAGCTCGACACCAAGAAGAAACGAATAAAAGAAATGATTTTCAGAGAAATAAAATAAATGACTCAAAGAGGGTTACTTTTTATCGTAACGGAGATAAGCATTTCAAAGGAAGGACATTATTTATTACCAGACAGAGATATCGCTCTTATGAGAGTCTGCTGGAAGAACTTTCTCGACTTATACCACTACCTTATGGAGTTAGGAATGTTTTCACTTCTGTCGGAAGATTGATAAATTCTATTAATGAGCTCGAAGATGGCGGGTTCTACATTTGTTCTTCTGGGGACCAATTAATTCGAAATGTTGACTACGAAAAAAACGCTAAAATTCTRAGTAAAAATGAGAARGAATTACCCGAAGGGATGCAAAACATCGCAATTTCTGCGCCTTCAGACAGCTCCTCTACATCAAGCAGTTCTAGGTCAAAAAACTYACAWACAAAGCCTAAAATTATCACAATCATTAACCAAGAAAGAGGATTAAAAAGTAAGATTTTATTGAACAGAAAAACAGCCAAAAATTACGAAGATATTYTGYGCGACATCTCAGAAATGATGAAGYTACAAGGAGAACATGTACAAGAATTGGTTTCTGAAAATGGAAAGAAGGTAAGTTCAGTAAATTTGTAAATACACTAGTTTAAATAAGTCAAACTTAAATCCTAGATAATCTCCATTGTTTCATATTGTTTCTAGGTAACGTAGGTTTAAAGTTTTCAAGCATAGATAAAGAATCATTAAAGAATTATGAAAATTCATTCGTATAATGATACAAGCAGCTGACATTCAACCATAACATTCGGCAACAATCGCTTCTTGTTGACAAAACATGAAATTTTATTAACCTTAAGTAAAGACTCCCTACAAGCTTGGAGAATGATTGGATCCTTGTGATATAGATTAAATGTCCGTGAGTTAATTTTGAAAGGACAATTACCGGTCAGATTGGAGGCTTTGTTTGAATTGTAATACAAATTAAGAAGTAGGATTTTGAAATTGAAGTAATTTTAAGATATTTTCTTCGATACTATTTTTTATTGTTTTACTAGTAATAGCCTATGGCCTGCTTCAAACGTCAAATATTGCACGTGCATAAGTCAGTGAAAATAACTTAATAATAAACAAAAATAAGCCAAAAGTGATTTGCATTGAATTCGGGACATACAAAAGCCGACAAATCGTATATTTAGGCCTTCCCTACTTGAACAATTGTGTAAAAAGAAAAGTGAAACAAACAACTTACTGACGTTTCGGACGTTAATCCTTCGTCTCTTTTCCCCGACGAAGGATTAACATCCGAAACGTCATTAAGTTTTTCACCTATTTTTTTACGGTGTTAAATTTAACTTTTTACACAACTGTTTCTTTAGAATCATCGACGCAGCTCAAACTACTTTACCGCTATTTTTCACCCGCACTTCTGTACTTTATGCGGTTTTCGTTCTTCTTCCTAAAAAAATACTGCATCGAGCGAACTTGCAATATTTCTAATACCTAGTRTCAATATATATCGTCCGAATTAATCCAAAATGCATATTACATTGTATATTTTATTAACGAAACTGGAACGGAGTAAAAACGCAGTTTTCGTACGATTGGGACACTGTTCCTAAACAATGAATTTTGCTAGCGTTGTTTTCCGTTTTTTTTTTTCTTTCTAATTCCTTTTAATTTGTATTTCATTCATTTACCAATTCAACGTTAACAATCTTTGTATCGAGTTTAAAAAATTGGCAACAAAAATGATAATTCCGCTATACCAGTCAAAATCAGTAGAAGGGGGCATTGCTAGGTTTTTAATATTTAATATAACGTATTCAGCTATATCTTGTGTTTTGTGTTTTTTTTTTCTCTTGTGCCCACTCATTCATCAATAATCCTTTAAACTTTAGTAAAGTATTCGTTGACTTACAAGTTCATAAAGCGATTTCAAAAACGTTCATGGATTAAAAGCGAGAAAGTAATGAGATATTACAACTGAAAAAATACTTCAAATGTACTGAGATGGTGTACATGATAATTCAAGCGCGCTCGTGTGAGGTTAAAATATTCGACCTATAGAATTAATGGAACCAACTTATGGAATCAATCTTTATACAAAGTGGATTTTTTTTTCTGTCATTTCGTTATTTTTATGTTTCAAAATTTCATGTGGAGCCGTAAATAATTTATTATTGACGTGATCGAATTGTTAACCTAGTTCAGTGAATACACCCATGATAGACGATGGATTTCGTACGAAATATCTGTATCAAGTAACTTCTCGTTACTTTATTTCTTTACAAAATCTTAGCCCAATCAACCAACAACTTCAAGTGATTGAGCTCACTTTGA